ACAAATCGTTTGTAAATTGTAAAAGCGAGATAACGAAAAGCCCATGGGACTAAAGTATCATCGTTATTTAGTAAATTATTATTATATTTAGAAAACAGATAGTAAATCGCATACGCGTTATTCTTGAAGACACCCATTCGAAAAAATAGCCTATTGCAACGGTTCAAAACGGAGTCTTTTTTTTTGGTTAAACACCCATTGCAGACTGTTAACAGCGGTACCTCTTTTTTACAACTGAATCACAAGGACCAGTTTTTGCGTTTCGGCAACCAACCCTAAAGGCCCAACGTATGGACAGTAATAGGTATTGCTATGTGGATGTATCTCGTCCTTCAAAACAGCCCGACAAGAGTGATACAACTATGAAACAGCAACACAGTTTCGTTTTCTTTCGTCCTTCGTCAGGTATGTACTAGCAATCGGCCGGATATTAGCCTCTACTCCATGCTTTGAATCGAGTTTAGAATCAGCAAAATTATGGTGATTGTTGCAATTTTTGAAAACGATTTGAAAATAATTCACTGTAATCAATGTGCAAGAGAAATAATAATACTATAGTTACCTTTCATGTCTTGGTTCTGTGGTCTGAAACGAATAAACGGACCACTGTTCGTGGTCCAGACGTTTATCACCAATATTTCTTTCTTTTCGGCTTATTCCCGTCTGCTGCTTGCCTCAGCTTGTTCATTAAGCAAATGGTTATGTACGTTCATTTATTCATGTTGTTTCCATTCATACGTGCTAAGGCAGAGGAGGGTCAAGGATAGCAGAACAAAGGGCCACCGTCCGACTATGTACTAGCCTAGGGACTGGTCAGTACACAGCAGTTTAAAATACTTTCTGCCGATACACTGTAGAAGAAGAGCTGAAATGCCAGCAGTTTAATAACTGAAAACAACACGCATTAAACGGTAGTCCTTCGCAGGTTAGCATGTATCAACAGAATGATATTATAAGAATGCATGAATATGTCTGAGTTCGCGTACGGACGCAGGCTCGTAACGGGACACAGTAGGTCTGATAGAGATATCCGAAGTGCGTGCGGCATAATTAAATTAGTGTAGGCAGTGACCCTTCTGTTGAAGCTAGTAATGGCATTCTTCAAAAATAATTATCATTACTTTCTCTACCGTTCAGTCTCCAATAACATTTTCTTATTATTTCAGCTTTGTTACATCAGCATTGTCAGGGGAGAAATTTGACGATTCAACCAGTTAGTGATGACCCACCGTTTTCGCACTACTTCAATGCATATGACTGCCTTCTGCCGGTTTCAGCACAAGTATAACGCGTAACTAAAAGTAAAAATAAATTTAACAAGAAATTCTCTAAGCAAATTTAATAAACGTCAAAACATCCCTAATTTACCTTTACCATATGCTACCCGCCAGCGAAAACAAAAAACACATTCCACACTCAGCGATTCTCTACTACTGCAGATACGTGTTCCTCTGTCTATATCATGTATGTGATCCTGCACTATACAAGAAACAACAGTACAGCTGATTCCTAAGTTTATTCACAGTTTATCTTATTCCCATTTTTAAAAGCTGAGCATACTACGAACCCTGTAGATTTCTTCCTCTCATTGAAGTCAACGGCGTGCTGTAGCCCGCGGTGCCGTTATTCGCGTCGTGTGTGTGTTAATTATCGTATGAATCTATAGGTACAAGTGGCATATTAAAAAAACTTGTGGATAAGACGAAACGCAAAGACAAAGACAAGCCTGTCAAATTGCTTCGATAATTTTAACTCGCTGATATTGATGATGAAAGTTCTCTGAGTCTTTAGAAAGCTGCGCAGTATGACGATTTTCACTGATATCGCCAAGGGGGTTTGTATTCCTTTTATTGTAACTGCAATACATTCGTTGTAATTTGCATTCCTTTCGACGAAAAGTAAACACTGTATACGGGTCTGCTTTCAGACCCTTTATACAACCTATTTTTTACACACAGAAAGAGTTTCGATGATTTCTCTTATCATTTTTTATAGGGACCTGTACTACTGACAGCTTTCATCTTTCGTTTCCTTAGATAAACACGAGATCTTCGTGCTTGGATAACTATGTTTATCGAAACCTCAAGTTTCTTTTTGACGTGTTTCCGCCGTTATTCAGCTTTGAACTATCCCGGCGAATCTTCGTCGATGAGCCCTTCCCTTGCGTCTGGTTCCCAACTTCCGAGAAGGGCTTCCATGAGGAAGGCTCTTAGCATAAAGCATAGGTAAGCCTCGAGATCAGATGCCGTCTGTCGACCAGACACAAAAACAGACTACCGTACCTCACCTTCATCTTCATCTTCTTTCTGACACTCTCATGCCAGTCTTCATCAGTTCCCGACTAGATTTAAGCACAACTGCAGCGGACACTTTATATACTTGGTTTGCTGACTTGCTGTTCATATTACTTAATTTCATTTTCTTTATGTTAGAATCGAAAAAGCTTAACTATTATGAGAGACCACTCTGTAAGGACTTCATAATCTTTCACTCTTTCATTGGTCTAGTTATGCCCTTTGGCGTAGTTGCAAGGAAACTGCAAAACGGTACGTAATAAGCATCCCGTTTTTGCTGAACCGTACTGTTTAAATCGGTTCGTTGTGTCATTCACATCTATGTTATTTGTACATATTCTCTGTTTGTGTCCTTTGCAAGCAAGTGAGGAACTCCTTCAATTCGCTGGAACAAGAGGCATGGAAACTAATAAAGCAAAGTAATCTAATAAAATAGCCTGTCTTAAATCTTAAAATTGAACTAAAAGTGAGAGGATAATCTTGTTCTAATATATGTATACATATGGATACGTCAACACGCTTTTTTTGTCAAGCATTTAAGAACGAGTAATCTTGGGATCACTACTACTTTAAAGCATTAGCATTTAAAGAAAATGAAACAAGGCAGCTGGTGCCAATACGGAAGAGATCGTGAACGAGTTAAGTTAAAGTGATTTAAAAATGCAGTCAATACTCGATATCCAAAATAAACCTCTACGAACTCGCTCTTGGGCTACGAAATTTTAGCTTTTAGTAGAAAATGAAATCACAGGCGTTTTTTTTTGAAGGGGATCGTACTCGTACACCAAGTGCAGGTTGAATCTTAAGCTGCAGTTTTGCTGGCTGAGGCTAATAGATCAGTAGTGTAGAAGAGCGTTATTCAGAATTACATATGACTAAATCAAAGTCATATGCATGAACAAAGTTCACGAGCGAACAGACTAACAGGGCTGCTAATATATATATATATATATAAACTGATCAAAACGTCCTTAGTTCTGCTACCTAATAGTAGCAAGAAAAAGCAAACATTTGTTATACACAAATATATCTTAAGGTCACTCAACAAGAGTTTACTAATACTCTACAATTACCGGTATCATAGACTGGCGAGAAATACTCGTAGACCTTTGTGGGTCCGCCCTTCCAATACGACACAGCTAAGTTCATACCTGTGCCCGAGAATATTCATTTACAAAGATACTTAAAAGGACGACATAGCCTAGACGTAGCACGTGGACGATATCTTCTGAATTCCGAATTAGCACTATACGAAGGTACATTAAGCTTGTTTTGGACACATGGTCCTATAGATTGTAATATCGATTGAATGACACATAATAGATTTGTATGTTAAATCGAAACAGGCAAACAAATTAGGCGTCCTACCCCACATGAATGTGAATTGGTAGATTTTAATAATTTCGGACTCGTTAACCTAAATTATCCATCGCATTGGCGGATGCCAGTGGCGATAGCTCACAATCAGAGGGTCTGTCTATATGGCTATGTAAGGCAAACCAATAATAACTTATCGTACCGAGTCAGTTCACGCACATAATAGAAACAAAAGGTTGTCGGCCGTTATTGAACGAGAGTTATCATTGTCGTCATTATCACACATTTACTGCACTGCTCTATATAGAGTATAATACCGAAAAAAAGGACTGAACGATGTTTTGGTGCAGTTATATGAATATCCAGACCAGATCAGAGAGACAACTATGTGAGTCTCTCTGATCTCATCTGGATCATGTGTATGTATGATTTTAACGCGGTATTGACTTCAAATGATTACATCCTAAAGATCATATAGATTTCTAGTTTTTTTTTTATATAATGACGAATTTTTAGAAAAACGATAATACGATTATCATTGGTTGATGGGTGTAAACCTATATCGTCATATACGTATTCTTCGAAATCTAGTCTCTAAATCGTTTGGATCTATTACCCTGTCAGCTTACTGATTTTTCCTACTTCTAAAGAAAGCACGATCTACATTAAATGATGCTATTATTAGGCTTTGTTAACAAACTGAAATGAATATCCGATGGAACTGCAGAGGATTGAACATTCTATGTTTGGCGTTGGCAACAGCAAACAATCGTCGAGCCCGCTTTAGGACGAATTTGTCTTCGATTAGGGAAACATCTGTTACACTAAAAAATCGGCAAGTAGCGTGTAGGCGACGGAGGATGGATGAATCTCCAATTCATGACGTTTGTTTAGCTTATTGTCGAATAATCCCTTTCGAAAACGAAACAGACGACCTTTACGTCTTTGCAAATGGAACTAAAATGCATTAAGTATTGTTAAAAGTACAAGCTTATATGAATATAGAAATTGAATGACGCCATTAAGCAACATGAAAAAGATTCAGTTCATGTTAAAACAGCGCCGTTCAACAAACGTGCAGATTTTAATTAGCCTTAGATGCCAGAGGCTCGTCAAAGGGAAAGTCTTGATAGTAGTATCCTCTTTCCTTTTCTGTGGAAACAAGGTATTAGTTACTTGAAAAAAGTTCTTATTGAAACTGTATTTCCGTTCGTGTTCACCTATTGGCCATGGAATTATTTAAACGAGAAGCCAATTAGTATGGACTATGTTAATTTTTAAACAGTGGAATCACTTGTATTTACCGCTACCTGCAAATGATTAGCTTTTAAAAAGTAGACAATAAAAAATAATAAGTAATCGAAAAGAAGAGCACGGCGTCTAACTTACCTTGTGCGTGCGCCATGTGCGCGTTCAACGATAATATAACAACGAAGGTAAGTGAAAGCACCTCCCATTTCATTCGATGTTGGAGTCGTCTTCCCCCGCAATGAAAGGGACGGTAGTTGTGGTGGTAACAGTCCTGGATAGGCTGTCTCTCTGAAACCCCGGAAGTCGATAAGGCATCATAGTATCTTGGTACTTTTCTTGTGTCGCCTGGCAAACTTGCCCTTGTTGAAGACAATGGGTTCGTACTTCTTCTTGTGGTTGGTAAGGTACACATCAGACTTCTCCGTCTCATTCTACCTCTACTTCGAACAATTTTGGTTACTGGGGAGTCGATTACAGCCGTCGAGTGCCCGTATTGGTTATCGTTTGGCATGATGATGCATCTTTGGTCAGTGACCATTGTGGCAGTTTGAGGTGCACTTTGGGCTCGAAATACCACCACGTTTGGCACGTTAGATGGCACGCTAAAAATCTTCATGGGCGAAATAGGTCTACGACAATATGAGCGACGTCGTTTGGCTAACGCCATCCTTCAGCCACCTCCTTCCTCGGCTCCCGACGTGTCGTCCCACGTTTGCAAGGGACCTATGCGAAGGGTGATTGGAAAATTATTCAAGAACACAAGAAGTAATTTACAAACTCAAGACAAAAGTTAGTGGTGGCTTTTTCGTTGACGTTAAAGAACGCACTGGAGAAACGCAGATAATAGTAGCAAGAATAACCTAACTTTTTGCCCACCAAGTGAGATAATAGAGTTTTTTGTAACATAGGCATGCAGAAGGGGCTGCTACGGTGCCCCGACTGACATCGCGACCGTGTTGTCCCTTTGACTGCTACGACATTTTGAGTATCAGCAATGGAGGCTTATCTGGAAGACAGAAACATTAGACAACGTGTTATATATATTATTCGATACATAAACGACTCCTGATAGCTACTGACGGTTAGATGGAATATGCATTTCTAGCTCTTTTAAACCAATTAAGTCTGTGGATAAGCAGACAAGTTTTAACTATTTGTGTATATGTACTTCTTTCTGTTTACAAGAAGCTTATGTCAAGAAATCTGACGCTATTTTTTATATGCATAGCTTTCATAGACAGACGATAACTATGCAGGTCTTGTTAAATATTGACAGGGACATTCCGTAACAATTCGGTTCACTTAGTAACTTTTTGAATTCTTACTAGAAGTACCGCACAGGTATATCTAAGACTTTTAGTTCATTTGATTTAATTTTCCATAGTGCAATTCATGGTCATTCTACTTTCATTTGATGCGTAAAACGTTTCTCTGCCATGAAGCTTGAAAGGACCTGCAACCCTTAATAGTATCAAAGCTGTGAGCGAACGCCGACGCATACTCCACTTACCGACTATTCTTAGAATACCGATGAAGATGCTTTTTCCAAATTTGATTTAATTTCGGGTAATTAAAAGTGAACGGGGGCGGAGATCGGTTTAGCTATTTTCCACATCCTGCGTACCAAACATATACAGAAGGGCGTGGATATCCCCTGTGTTTAAACTAGGAATGACGATAAACACAAAGAACAAGGGTCTAATTCTGCTTACCGCTACATCAAGTAGAATACTTGAGAAAACGATCGCGAAGTAAATACTAAAAAATTCCGAAGTATAGAGTGCTGACATTCAAGAAGCTACTTGCGCACAGGATGAAAAAAATATCTTTGTTATTGTGTTTTACGAATATAATATTTATTTTACAACTGCGGTTTGTTACGTTGATGTTATATTCGCTAAACGATCACTACCAGAAGCATTGTGAAAAGTGAGTTTAGAGTGTTCCAAAAGAAAGTATTCCTTGCGGAAGACCCCATGCACAAATGAATAGTGAGGTATTGACAGCCCTGGTGGAGAGGGAAAACGGACGTTAACACTCAAGTTTGCTAAGATGCAAAAATACCCCGTTTGTCCATCTCGGCACACTTCGCATGATCTTAACGAGTATCGAAGACAAAGGCGTAAAGATTCTTATTTTGTATGGTGACTTGCCATGAAAAATAGATATTCTACAACCATCGCAGATGCCACATCAGTGGGTGGATAAAATTAAGTCTTCTAAAACAACACACAGCTACAAATTCTATAGTGTCTGTTTAGTAGTTTAGTTGTTCAGCAATTGTTATCCATCACAATTGTGGCTGAAACGGACTGCCAACGATTCAAGATGTCGAACAGACTTAGCCGCGATTAGCGAATAAAGCTAAACCACCCCTATTATAAGACATTCGACCGCACATAGGGGTTCACTGCTATACATCACACTTACCAGACAACCTCCTATAAACTATCGTTTTTCAAAAGCCCGATAACTTTCTAATGGGATAACTGTCGTGATGTAAAAACTTTTATCTTGAATTCTCATAGCAGTGAAATGAACAAGTTGTCATCAAAATGACAAAATGTTGTATACCATGAATAAAATTTGAAAAATTAGACTACCATTTTAGATTTCATACTGAGTAGCTGAATATACATTGGTACGATTTAAACGTTTACCGAATCAGCTGTAGTGGTTATACAAAACTTGGCAGAAAAAAGGTGCGTAAAGAGATAAAATTCGACTTTCAGAGACAATATGTCGAGACACATTTAGCTATTTATAGCTATGGTGAGTTGCTTGTCATATGAGCGTCGCTTATGTAGGAAAAACTTAGATAAACCCCAAATCGGAGTATGATCATATTTCCCTTAACTAATCTTAGAAAAATTAGCGAAACTGTAGAAATATGTTTGTCTTTGCGGCATCACTCTTTGAAACTAGTATGCTTTCGCTTACAGAAGTTCAATTTTAGCGCCAGACCACCAGATTCATTCAATATGCAGTTATCTATGAAAATAGGCAATTGTTGAATATTGATTTTCAAGCTCTCAGTTTCTGGATATGTATATTAAACCATTTAAGTTCACCAACATTCCTAAGAGTCCCAAAAATAATTGTCTATCTAGCCAAGCTGCTCTGCTTAATCCATTACGCTTCCCTGGAGAATTTATTTGTTCTACAAAATCCACATCGTTAAGTTTACACCAGGTTCACGCCTCTCTTCCCGTCGTTCGTTTAAGTTGTCTCAACTCCTTTAAGCTTTCTTTAAGATTTCTATTAATCCCACTATCACCATCAGGATTGCTATAACTGACCTATAGTTCGAGCGGTGGCTGGCAATTACCGTAATTCTCGGTTACTACCGTGTTAATCGCGTGAGTATTATTCTCTCTAATTACGTTACATACACGGGATCAGTCTAATTGCTTTGGAGTTTGCTCGCACTTCCTTTGTCCCTTGATAAACACTTTAAGGCTAGGTACTGATTTCGCATCAGTGACACTTCGTCAGAGTCATCACAATAGACGAAGATAAATGAGAGAGCATATTTCTCGTGCCGTACTCCTTCACGGCTACCACAGGAAGTAGGGAGGGATACGAACTGCAACAACGAACAGTACACGATATCAGATTGAATTAGGCTTGTAAAAAGTGTACAAATGGGCGACACGTGTGTGTGAACGTATGACGCAACGTTTCTTTTGTACTATCACTAGAAGCATCTTATGAAATCGTTTCAAGTAAATTGAGGAATTTCAATTACAATGAATAGTTAACTTAATTATTTTAGTTTAAAATAAATAGAAGCACATTTTTTCTAAATGGAAGCAAAAATCTATGATAGAAGATTCACGAAGCGGACAGACCGATGAACACTTCCCTTGACGATAATAAGGATGATGGTAAAACAAGTGAGTTACGTTAGCCTGAGAACTACCAATGTGGAACAATTGAAACAGCGCAGGAAAATGCGCAGACTAAACGCCATAGGTTGAGGGAGAAAGGTGTTCAAGAAGGGCAGATATTTTGCACAGGGAAAAACGAGACAGAGAAGGCGAACATGTGATAAATGTGATAGTGGCCCGTCAAATCTTTGTTCTACTAAAGCCTATAGGAAAAAAAAAAGAGTTCAGATAAAAGAATTTCGATTAATATTTTTAATGCGCGTTTCGGCGGCAGTGAAAAAGCTTGCGTGCTGTTTTACTTGGCGTCTTTATGACGCCGTCAGAAACTTTTCATGCCATTAGCTCTATAGCGCTGAAACGTTCCCTGAAGCTTCATTCTGTATCGGCACTTCCCAGTTTAAGATTTCCAATTTTCCCTTCTAGCTCCAATCCTCTTTCGGTTAATTCTTTTGCCCATATATTTACGTAAGCGGGAATGTTTTGAAATGTCAGCAATTTATTAGTACAACATTCAAAGGATTTTCGAAAATTTTGGGAATTTGGTGCTTGCAGCTGTCGTCATTGCTATGACCGCATGTTAGTGTTGTCTTTTCACACCTACGTTCTAAGGCAATAGACATTTTCCTTTCGTAGCCCATCACCGGAATTAGCTTCTAATTTTAAGGTGAATCGTGCCCCTGTGATTTAAAGGACGCTTTAATTGTTTAAGGTGAGAACGCCTTTACCACCATGATTGCAGAAGAAAGATCTTCGAAAGTTTGAACAAGACCAGTTATTAATTGTCTGTAAATGATCCATATATACTATATTGCTGTAGTTGTCTAACTCACACTGTGAAACGCTCATTGTTCTAAATTTCGTCCTCTCAAATCTGCATTTTTTCAAACTAAGGGGCACGATAATTGGCGGCAGTTTTACCGCATTCGGTTTTCTTTGTTTCATGGCCAGAATAGCACACTAAGTTTCGTAACGAACCTCGACTCGACTAACGCATTTGGTGAATGAAGACAGCTGTTAACTTTCGCTCTTTTATGGAACCTTATCGACCGTAAAATTTCTCAGACAGATAAATGTCGGTAGTTTAAATGGTAACTTTTTATCTTTGCTACCTTGAAGTTTATCGCTGCCTGCATCAGATCTAGTTATATTATTTGAAATGAGTTCGGTTGATATTAAGAGACTCGTTTCTTGAAAAAGCAAAGTAGAGTAGTCATCAATCTCCGTCCCTGAGAGTAATTTGTATGGAGTTATTTCACGATTGAGGCCTTGTTATGGCCGCCTTTTCCTGTCTTCTGTCCGTGCTATGTTTGTACTATCTCTTATTCTTATTTGAGGGCATAGAATGTCTGAAAAGAAGCCTTACTATTAGCTCAATGCTGAGCGACTCTATGAAGCATCTATCGGTCGCACACCTTTTCAGTGCAGTACCCGCTTCAAAGGCAGGAGACATGTCCCATTAACACCACTTGGTGAGTTGATGCGATAAGCTGCCGACAGCAACGCTTACTTTGAAAGTGATAACATACTTCTGAATGTACTACCGTGCTCGACGTTACATAAATGCCGGCCTCTTGTAAATGGCTTGCAATCCAACGTGTGCCGTAGATATCCCGAAAGTCCGTCTACGCCTCATTGGTAGACTCCTAAAAATCAGATCATTGGCAAACTAACTGCAAGAGAAATGCCAAGCAATGTTCAGCAATTGTTGAGCTCGATGCCGCAAAATTTAAGCTATCGTACGGCAAATTGTTTTCATGAGTGATAACTCGAAGCAGCTTCAACGCATTAACTGTTACGTGATTATATAATTTACTGTCCATGGGTATCATTAGTATCCTCTTATTTGCACTATATCCTATAGACCGATGACATTCGGGCCATTTTGGTATTACAGCCCATGATAAGGCAAAGAAGATTACTAGTAAGATTGTCGATAAAAAGCGGCAAAGCTACATTTGCAAACGTATTTAGCTCTCCAATTTGTCAACTAAGAAAATCCAATTACGTCTATTGAGGGTACCCTAAGTCTTTTCCTATGACAGAATGCTGATGGGGTATTATTTCCCTGAATTCCGCGAAATCATTTCATGTTACTTCGTCACAAATTTGATGATAA